TTATTGCCCCTATCCTGGCCCCACATTGATAAGAAGTGAAGAGCTTGTTTACCAACTGCTCTATTTGTGAACACACAAAGTTTTTTGTTTTTTTGTTTTTTTTACTGTCAGAGCAATAAAAATATTGTTTATGATTTAAATATATTGTGCGTAAGGCAATTTCTATTAAAAGGCCCCTTCTGGGCAGCCTCTATGGTAAAATTGATTCAATTGAGAAAACCAGGCTCCATGTTTTAATGAGTGATTCTTTTCCAGGACTGTGACCAACATATATTCAAAGAAGTATCTGTGTAACAATAATGCTTCATGTCTTATTGATTTTATTACTTTAATTTTAATTCTCACCCAAGGATATTTTCCCCCCATTGATTTCTAGAGAAAGAGTGGAAGGGAGGGAGGGAGGCAAGAGAGAGAGAGATCGACATGAGAGACACACATCAATTGGTTATCTCCCACAGGCACTCCTATCAGGGCTGGGAAACCTGCACCTACATGCCCTTGACCAGGAATGGAACCTGCGACCCTTTGGTTCAAGGGATGACGCTCTAATCGCTGAACCAAACAGGCACTTCCTGTCATCATTAATATCTAATGTTTTGTGATTTTGCAAATAGATGTAAAAATGATTTCTATATTAGTAGAAAAGGATCCTAATTCTATGAGTTAATATACAATCCAGGTAAACTATTCCCTTCTCTAACAAATAATCCAAACAGCAAGTTGAAAGTTTAGAAACACAGTCTAAGCCTTAAACTATGTTTAATATCTAAACTAGAATTCTCAACCTTTCAAAGAAGACAGCGTCCAAAAAGTAACATTTGTCCAAGTTATTATATTGTGACTTTACTATGAAATAGGCTTCAACATGTAAAGAGCCAGGCAGTTTTAGAAGTGAGAGATTTTGAAGTATATAACCATTTTTATTGAAGTGCCTTAAATACACTGACTTAGACCGCAGTAGGGCAATAAACATTATTAATATTTTCCTGCCCTTATGCAGAACCAAAAATACATTAAGGAAAACCATTTCCAAACCTGCAACTTTCTATAAGATTATTTTCATCTCCTGCTTTCCAGCTCCACTGCTATTGCAAATGATGCCTTTGAAAAAATTACCTTTTCAAGATACGTCACTACTTTCTGCCTGTCATCATCCTAACATATCAACCTACCATGACTATGGATATCAATAGCATGTCCTAGAATCGTGCAGCACACAACTTGCACATCTTAGTGGCCGCACCACTTTGCCTACAGGAAGAACACAGAGTTCACACCATTGGGATAGACCTCTCTGGCCAAGGTCCCCTCTGGCAAATTCCTAAATGAGAATCAGAACAACCTTTGCCATGTCCCTAAATTACCTTTGCCCACTATCTTTCTGATCATACAAAGAAACTGAGTTTACTTTTAACTAAGACTTTAAGGAAATCAGAATTGCCGCAAGAAGAAAACTCATATTTCCAAATAAAGACCTTAGCTCTATCTTAGGGCGACATAACATGTAACACCATATTATTATAGCCACTTGTACAAATACCAGTGTTTCAAAACTTGATAAGTTAATTTGATTTACAAGAAAAATCACAAAAACAACATTTGTAGCACTGGAATGGCTCGGAGTGAGGGAGAGTGGGGAAACTGTACCTGGAAGTCACACAGAAAGTCAGAAGCTCCATAAATGTTACAAACCTCATCAAGGAATATAATATTCATGTTTGAACAACCAAAGTAAAACTAATCAACCAAAACAACTTTTCTCTGTTTAAAGAGAAAATGAATAAATTTTTAAATAACAAAAATCATAGAAGGCTAACTTAAATGGCAATTGAGGAATTCAATACAGCTAATGAAGTCTGGAAGCCAACTGACAGATTCCCTGCCATGTGGAACTCCCTTCTCAAGTGATGCTATCGGTCTCAAAGCAATTCCATGAGAAATGGTCAAAAAATATGAAACTGTTGTTCAAAGTACTTTGATTTATCACTTACTAGTAAGGGTGTGTTACCTGTTAAAATAAGTCAGAATTTTCAAGAGAATGATCAAATTATGTATCATATAAACTGATAACCAATTTCTAGGCTAACATAAAATCATGGTAAATGTGAAGAATCATCTGTGAATTCGTGATTTTATAAAAACACGTAAGCCATATTATACTTCAACCAAACCTCAATATTTTCTGGAGAGAGAAATATATATGACCCACTAAATTCAACTTGTAGCCAAGTGCCGCATAGACTCTTTCACATTAAAACAGTCTCCGCACTCCTCCGAAGGCAACATCTCCAAAGGAAACAAACAACTTGGAAAGAGCAAATGTCACCAGGTGCAGCATGAGGGAATAACCTATATATAGTCCCAGCTCGTCACTCAGCCTGAAACACCATTCCTTCCCTCACCCCATTAACGTACTGACTTGCAAGCATTTTGACATGCAGCCAGGGGAAGAGTGACTTATGTCATCTTTTAAAATAATTAGACATAGAGTCCAAAACATGTGTTCATGAAATAGGTCTGAACTGCAAGTCCTCTCTCCTCTAGAACAACAGCTTTCTGAACATTAGGTTCCTGTTCCACACGGGAACGAGCTGCTGCCTGATGAGCTGAGGATGGCTGGGAGTCCGGGAGGACCACCTCAGACTCCTCGAGGGTGCTAGTGCCGTGGGCTGCAGACGGAGTTTGTACAACAGAACTTGCCACAAGAGGATTGGGAGCCACTAGCTCTGTTCTCTGTAAGATGCATCCATTTCAAATTACATTCATTAGAGCATAGTTTACCCTTCACTAACTTGTGCAAAGTTCAAATAAGTGAACGTTAAATGGATATTAAAATGCATGAAGAGTAAGTCTTTGCAAAGAGTTTTTAATGTTATGAAGCAATGGATATATACAAATTGATTGAAATAAAAAAGACATGAAATTATTTATAAGGTATGTTCTTCAGCATGTGCAACATGTATATGCAAGACAAGATAGAAAAACACTGAAATATTAAAAGCTGATTATCTTGGATGAGAGATTTGAAGTGACACATTTCCTTCTCTTTATCTGTGATAATTTATATTTATATAATTATTATTACATTTTACATTAATTTTAAAAATATGCCAATCCTTAAATATTTTTTTCCTACACCTTCCTCCAAGTTAGGAACCAAACACCAGGTTCTGTGTTGAAGGAGTAGAAAAGTGTCGCGGTTCAATTCTCCATTCCTCCGGGAATGAGGATTCTAGAATTACAGGAACTGTTTCAGAGGGTCACTGCAAGCTTCCCAGGCAGAATTCTAGGAATTCCACACTACTCGAGTTTCTTCAGTCATAAATTGCAGGTAAAAATGATACTTGCCTCAAAGGACAGTTGTGAAATTAAACGATTCAATACATATAAATGTTTCAAACATTTAAAATGGTGCCTGGCAAATAGAAAGCACTCCCAAAGACTAAGCTATTTTTCCTTCATCATTTTATTACAACAACTATTGCTACTTCTAGTGCTACTATTGCCACCATCAATGCAAATACTATTACGATAACTACTGCTACTATGAGAACAACAAACAGTTGACTGAGCTTCTCCCTCTCATGGGGCCATGTTCCAAAGGGAATAACGCCTGCCAATCTGAACTCCGGGAAGTGGAAGGGCGAACAGGCATCGGGATTGCACCAGAGATTGTGTTTCATGAGACAGCAATGTGTCCCTGGCACTGTCTCACCACCATGCTGGCCGCCAACCACCCATCTCAGTGCCTTCTCTTATCACATCCAGGACCACATTACCTCTCCCCATCTCACTGATTCTTTTTATAAAAATTTGTTTACGTCTTTAAAATAAATTCTTAACATGCCCTTGACCCATTATGACCTAACATATTTTATTATTAGGTTAGGTCCGTGGTCAGCAAACTGCAGCTCAAGAGCCACATGCGGCTCTTTGGCCCCTTGAGTGTGGCTTTTCCACAAAATACCACAGCCTGGGCGAGTCTATTTAGAAGTTTAAGTTTAAAAAAATTGGCTCTCAAAAGAAATTTCAATCATTGTACTGTTGATATTTGGCTCTGTTGACTAATGAATTTGCCGACCACTGGGTTAGGTGATAGAAGGTAAGGAGGGAGAGTACTCATCTTTAATAAATTTAGTCATTTAAATAAAGTATTTAATTAATAATTTGAAAGAAAGATATTTAAGCAGTTAAACTTTTTAAAAATCTTGAGTCAAAATAAAAATATGTATTTCTGAAAACACACAATTGGAAAACACAACTACTGAAACCTAGTAGCTGATACCCTCACTCAGGGAACCTGGAAACACACTGTCATTATTTATAACAGATGAGTCCTAATTCTCTTTGGCCATAGCTGATTGGATCTGGAACACATCGGCGCCATGCCAAGCCAATCAGACGGTAGCCTGAAGAATCCAAAGAAAAGACAGGCACTGCAGTCAAATGGTGTAAACAGTAGGGACATAAGGTCATAAATCAACAGTTGGCACATACAAGCCAAAGTCACAGGGAGAAAGACATTAATAGCCTTAGAGAGCGGGAAGCTAGTCCACAGACAGATGCAAAATTGAGAGACCATATGGTCCTGAGAGGCAGAAAAGTCAACCACAGTTCCTGGCTTTCCATTGCTAGTCCCATGTGGTCTCAATGAACTTTCTTTTCCTCTCTTTGGATGCTTATGAGATTGCCTGCAATAGAGGCAGATTTTATTCTCTATGAACACACATGTCCTAAATTAGCCTGACATGTTCATGTAACAAATGGACATGTCACCAGCATGTCTTTTGTTCCTGTCCTTTGTTAAAGAGATTGGAACAGTGTTTACAACATAAAACAGTCTTTTCTTACAAGATTTATGCGTTTAACACCCAAAGGCACTGATTTGCTTTGTTTCAGAGGAGGAAATAGGAAGAGAAAATAATTCTACAAAAGAACTCAATCCTGCCAGAGGATTTCAAGCTCCAGGGATAACCTATTAGCGATTGTCGATACCATACCTGCTTCTTGGAAGAAACATGGATTCCTTAATGAACACGGAACCAGAGAGAAGAATATACCAACAGGTCCCAATATCATCAGGACTGAAAAGAAAAGAGAATAGAATCAGATGATTATTCATAACAACAACAACAAAAACAAACACAACACAAAGTGTAGTACCCATATTACTTTCAGAATCATAAAGGACAATGAAATAGTATAAAACTTGTCCATAAAAATACCATTATTTGACAAATGGAATCATTTTTTAAATTATTTTCTATCCCCCAAATAAGCTAAGGATATTTGTCAGTATATTTAAATATTTTAAATGTTCCTTGAATGTTTAACATTGACCATTCCCAGTTTTGTTTTGTTTTTTTAGTTTAATTTTTAAAACTGAAAATACTTTCCATTGCTTCATAAAACAAAAAAAAATACAAAGATGTAAACAGTAAAACTTTGTCTTCCCAACCCTTTCCCTGTCTACCAAGCTCCCCCATTTCTCCACGACACTTCTTGGATATTCTTTTAGAACTTCTTCATGCATCCTATCTAATAAAAGAATAATATGCAAATTGACTGTTGTTCCAACACACAAGATGGCTGCCTCCATGTAGACACAAGATGGCCACCACAAGACGGCCAGCAAGGGAGGGCAGTTGGGAGGGACCAGGTCTACAAGGGAGGGCAGTTGGGGGTGATCAAGCCTGCAGGGGAGGGCAGTTGGGGGTGACCAGGCCGGCAGAGGAGGAAAGTTGGGGGTGACTGGGCCTGCAGGGAAGGCAGTTGGGGGGGACCCAGGCCTGCAGGGGAGAGCAGTTGGGGGCAACTGGGCCTGCAGGGGAGGGCAGTTAGGGGTGACTAGGCCTTCAGGGGAAGGTAGTTAGGGGCAATCAGGCTAACATGGGAGCAGTTAGGCATCAGTCAGGGTGGCAGGGGAGTGGTTAGGGGGTGATCAGGCTGGCAGGCAGAAGCAATTAGGGGCAATCAGGAAGGCAGGCAGGTGAGCAGTTGGGAGCCAGCAGTCCTGGATTGTGAGAGGGATGTCCCAGATTGGAGAGGGTGCAGGCTGGGCTGAGGGATACTCCCCGACTCCCCCCAACTCCCCAATGCATGAATTTCGTGCACCAGGCCTCTAGTATGCACATAAAAATAGACACCTATTCATATTCCCTCCACCATTGTTTATTTCCTTTTTACAGAAAAGATAGTGTACTCTACAGTGTTCTTTCCTTTGTGCTAAACCTTAGACATCTTGGCATCAGATTGCTGTCTTTTGAACACACCATACTTGATATAAGTAACCCCTTACTCGGTCATTTCAGTTGTTTTTAACAGCATGCAATTATTTTCAAAAAATTAAAACCACAATGAGTCATTTTGTATATATAGTAGTAACTGAAACCAGTATCTAGAAGTGCAACTATTGGGCCAAAGAGTACATACCCTGTCATTCTGATAAATCCTGTTATAGTGTCTTCCATAGGTGATTAAGAATTTATTTGCCTATTTGCTTCACCACAGCCTTACATTACAGCTTGTTAATTTCACATGATCTCACTCATTTGTGGAATATAATGAACAACATAAACCGATGAACAAAAACAGATCCAGAGACAGAAAAGCATCTATCAGACTGTCAAACCTCAGAGGGAAGGGAGGAGAGGGTGAGAGGAAGGGGAAGAGATCAACCAAAGGACTTGTATGTATGCATAAAAGCATAACCAATGGACACAGATACCAGGATGGTGAGGGTATGAAGGGAGGATGGGGGGGAAAAAAGGGGATAAGGACACATATGTAATACCTTAATCAATTAATCAATCAATAAATAAAAAAATTAATAAAATAAATTTTTATTGATTTCAGAGAGGACGGGAGAGGGAGAGAGATAGAAACATCAATGATGAGAGGGAATCATTGATTAGCTGCCTCCTGCACATGCCCTATTGAGGACTGAGCCCACAATGCAGGCATGTGCCTTTGACCAGAATCAAAGCTGGGACACTCCAGTCCATAGGCCAGCGTTCTATCCACTGAGCAAAAGCTGCTGGAGCAGCTTGTTACATTTTTTAATAGTTTAAAACAACATACATTTATTATCTCTGGAGGATAGTTGACAACAGATGACTTTTTTTTAAAATTTTACCTTTCAATTACAATGTACAGTCAATATTATTTTGTATGGGTTTTAAGTACACAGCATAGTGGTTAGAAAATAATATACTTTACAAAGTGTCCCACCTGATATTTCTAGTACCCACCTGGCACCATACATAGTTATTATAATGCTAGAGGTCCAGTGCATGAAATTCGTGCACAGGTAGGGTCCTCAGGCCTGGCCAGTGATCAGGGCCAATCAGGGCCTTCCAGCTGCCCATCAGGGCCTTCCTTCCCTGGCTGACAGCCAAGGCCTTCCTTCATTCCACGCTCCCGGTATCCCAGTCAAACTCCCAAGGGGACAATTTGCATGTTATATATAGAGATCATTGACAATCTTTCCTATTCTGTGTTACATTTATTTAACAAATGTTTAACTAACAATTTTATGATGAAGGCTATACAAGTTGTTTAGAATACTTCAGAGAACAACAGCAAAAATGTTCTCTGTTTGCATGAAGCTTATATTCTGGAGGGACAATACAGGTCATCTATAATAATAAAAGTGTAATATGCTAATTAGACTAACGTCCTTATGGACAACTTCTGGACGAAGCCCAGACTGTGAGGGAAGCCCGGGTCCCAGGTGCCAGAGGGAAGCCGGTGTTGGCAGCCGATTTCGTGCATCGGGCCTCTAGTTAATAATAAAACATAATAAACTGAAAACAGCCGAGACCAGCTTGGCTCAATGGATAGAGCGTTGGTTTGGGGCCTGAAGGGTCCCGGGTTCGATTCCAGTCAAGGGCATGTACCTTGGTTGCGGGCATATCCCCAGTAGGGAGTGTGCAAGAGGCAGCTGATCAATGACTCTCTCATCGATGTTTCTATCTCTCTCCCTCCCTCTCTGTACAAAATCAATAAAATATATTAAAAAATAAAAATAAAAAAAATAAACTGAAAACATTTTAAGTCAGTGCTCCTGAGGGAAAAATAGCACAGTGAAAGGAAAAAGGGGTAGAGTATTAAAGTTTTAGATGGGTGGTCAGGATAATCTCTCTGAGAAGAGCATTTGAGCAAAGGAGATGCATTAGCCAAGTGGAAGGATCCCTGAGGAAGCGGCATTCCAGGCCCAGGGCAGGAGGATCTCAAGTGGAAGGGCAGAGGCCACCAGCTCACACTGCCCAGCAGGGAGGCCAGTGTGGTGAGGCTGAAGCACAAGCCCCAGGGCCTTCTACCACAGAGGCTTTTAATTACACTTCTGGGGTTCTGCCCATCTGCTTGATGAAAATGATATTGAAACCAAGGGTCCTTATAACTTTGATTGGATTTAGCGTTAAATCCTAGCTCTAGACATCATCTCTCTCTACATACACATACAGGGTGGGGAAAGTAGGCTTATAGTTAGTTGTTCATATGGAAAGTAATACAACACTTAATAAATAATAATACAAGAATCAGCTCTGTTTCGAGTACTCACTACTGTGAACCTACTTTCGTCCCACCGTGGATAGAGCCCTGGCCTTCCTTCCCCCAGATAATCCCCGAGGCAGCGGAAGGCAGTAGCCGGACCTGACTAATGGTCTGGTCCCGGACTTCACTGAGGGCCACGCACCCTGGACCTCTGGCAGGCTAAAGATAACCGTCTTGCCCTAAGCTATGTCTCAGCTCCTGAGCCCTAAGGTGGAACAATCCCACGAAAACCAGACAGAGGGATCCTGGAAAGACCTGAGCTGTCTCAAGACCTGAAGAAATGCTTTATCATCTGCACCTCACTTCCAACCCATCAGCCCCTGGCCCGACCCCGAGCCCCACACCAACGGTGGTTTGTATTTTGGCCTCATAATCTGTAACCTACACACCATTAGGGCTTTGGAGCATTAGCTCCCCATTCGCCTGGGTGGTGCCATTTATCATAAAACAGCGAATATTCCCCCCTCTGCAATCCTCAGTGTTCAGTGTTTGGTTCTGCCAGCGCTGGGTGGACAAACTCTTTCTGTTCCGTAACAATATCTTAGTGTAATTTTACATTACTTTTTCTTTTGTTACAAGAGCACACTTTTTTCTTATTTTGCGAGCCACATCTATGTATTTTCCTGTGAAATCAGTTTATAACTTCTAGCTGATTTCCTATTAAGGTGTGTTAATTTTTTCTTATCTGGAAACATATATTAAAACTCAGTAACATCAACCTTTTGAAAACAGGAGTACCGTTTCCCCCAGTGTGTGGCTTATGCTTCGACTCTGTTTGCTGTGCTTTTTGCCATGTGTTTAGTTATTTTATTTTATAGTTCAGGTTTAATTACAGGCTCTGCTTCTATTAAAACAAAAAGCTAAGCATAGCAATGGCTTCATCGAGAAGGAAGTTCATTTCTCTCACACAGAACAGCTTGAGCACCACCAGTCTAAGAGAGATACGGCGGCATCCTGGTAGAGAGACCCAGGCCCTTTCTACTGTGTGGCTCCCTCATTCCCAGCCCATGGCTTCCATCTCTTATGCTGAGGTGGCAGCTCCAAATCTCACCACTGCATCCACATTCTAGCAGGAGGAAGGGATGGGAAGGAAGAGCAAAGCACATCCCATTTCTTTTTTTCTTTATTAATTTTTTTTTTCTTTTTCAATTACGAACATAGATTTCTCTCAGATCCCAGCGAATCACATGGAAGTATTGCAAAGGGGTCTCGGGCAGTCTCTGCCGAGACCTTTTTTTCCTTTGTAAATAGATTTCAAAAGTTTTCCAAGGACATTCAATTCTATTTCCAATTTTAAATACCTAAGTTATTTAAAACAGCAATCACTATCACCTAATCATTTTCATTTTTCTCTCTGCCTCCAAAGCGAATCAGCAGTTAACCACTGTTTCTCCCCAAGTCCACTCTTACCCAATTTCATAACTACCGACGGCCTCGAGAAAATATTTTTAAAAATTGTCAAATAGAGTGTTGTTCCAAGGAAGCCATAAAAGTAAAGTGACTTCTCAAATGCAAATGCAAAGTACTT